TTTCTCCTTTGGCCAAACTAAAGAAAATAATCTCCGGATCTACAAGAGGATCAAGAGACCCACAGAGGAAGTTTCCCACCACCCCAGCAGCTGCCTTGTAGACCCTTAACACCAGACTAACAAGAGAGGATTTTTTTGTAGGTACTCTTGTTGGGTCGAACCATCTCCAAACTCTGGGTGATATTTGTGTCCCTCTTCTCTTTATGTTGGTAGTTAGTGATCCCTGGAGAAAGACCATAGACTCTCTTTCTTTCTCTCTTTTTCTTTCACCTTCCCTTTCTTCCTCCCTCCCCCTCTCTCTCACCCTCCAACTCTTCCTTCCTCCCTCCCTCTTTTCCTCCAGTGAGAAAGATTTAATTTATATATACCTTGTCACAGGAGACAATTTTAAATACAGGTGTTAATTGAAGTGACTGAGCTGAAGCATTTTCGACTGTGGGAAATATTGAGTTCGTTTTGGTATATAATTTGAAGTATATACCTAACCTAACCTAACCTAACCTAACCTAACCTAACCTAACCTAACCTAACTTAACCTAACCTAACCTAACCTACCAGCATCCTCACACTAAAGGCGCGATACCAACCAACAGACAACGCACCTAAAAGTCTGACCTGACCAATAATTTTCAGGAACAAAGTTTGACAACACTCTTTAATCCACAAAACTTTAATGGGAATCGTTCCAAAAAAAAGAAACAAGAAAAGAAAAAACAAAACTCCTGAACAGAATCGAAGAAAATAAATGAGTGAAAAACGAAGTTGAGAGAAAAGTAAAGGAAACAAAAGACTTTTATCACAGTGCCTTCAGTTTGTACCCAACGATGAGACTTACATCTCTCTCTCTCTCTCTCTCTCCCAATTCCTTCCCTCCCTCCTCTTTCCTTCATCCCTCTCTCTCCCCCTCCCTCCTTCCTGGCTGCCACTGGAATGGCAGACATACCTACCTACCTATCTTAACCTATCTTACCTAACCTAACCTAACCTAACCTAACCTAAGCTAACCTAACTACCTATTCGCGAATTTTCAAAAGTTGGTGACTTAACTTTTCTTCGGGTCTGGTGGTGTACGAGCGCATTTAACTGACTGACTTAGGCTGAGGTGTCAAAAATAACTCTTAAAATGGCACTGAAAAACACAGAGACTAGCCATAAACTTCGTCTTACCTTAAGTTAAAGCAGTGTGTGTGTGTGTGTGTGTGTGTGTGTGTGTGTGTGTGTGAGTGTGATTACCTAAATCCGTTGATACAAACTCAAGTTACGAAATGCATATGAAAAGTACAGACAGACAGACAGACAGACAGACAGACAAGCAACGTTCACTGGCAAGGTTAAGTTTCAACCTTAAAACAGGAAGACGGAAATATGGAAGTTTTCTCACGACACAACAAATGAGAAGGAGAGAGTTTAACGATAAATAACGTCATACATCACACAGGAACCTTAAAAAAGAAAGATTTTAGACTGAGTAAGGACATAACAAAGGTACTCAAACTATCCAACCAGGAGCAAACTCGTAACAATGGTTTCAAATTAGACAAATTTCGATTTAGGCGCGAAATAGGTAAACATTGGTTTGGAAATAGAGTAGTGGACGACTGGAACAAGTTACCAAATATCATCATTAACTCGAGTACGCTGGATAGCTTCAAACATATGGTGGATGGATATGATAGGCTGAATAATTATTATTATTTACATCCCAGACACAGAGAAATTATATTCCTGAAACAACCAAAGTTATATGAAAATTATAACATCTTTAAGATTATGTTAGGAAAGACTTGAGTGCTGTTGAGCCAAAAGTCGAAACTGTTGATTAAAGCGAAGGAAAGACGCGGAGGACTCGGACACGGGCAGCAGGTGGAGAACTTCCCATGTACTGTAGCCTAAAAAGGAGGAAGTGAGATCGACTCGCATAAAACGTGGTCTTAGGCGCCTTGATATGACCAGAACTGACAGTGTATAACGAACCCAAACACGGCGATCACCCTCTTAAGTTTTTAAACCTGGACAGACACCCGTACAGCTAAGGTGAGTGAGGCCCATCGTCAGTAGAAGAGGGAGCAGCGCGACGAGGGGGTACAGGGAGAGGCCCACACGTTGTAGTACAGGGTGTGGGATGGGTAGGAAGGGGACGGGTTAGCGACCATGAGCGAGACACACAAGGCTCAGGAGTTAATAACGATAGACAATAAAACAATAGCGAGAGACTGACCTGAGGTGTGATGTCCACTGTCCCCGAGGAGCTGTTAACACATATATATATATAGAAAAAAGAATTCAGTTTAGGTTTCCTGGCTAACAGTTAACTTACACCTGTAATATTTTTACTGTCAGACTTACAGGAGCCATGACAGAATCTATGTTTTTGTTTAATATTATGTGTGAATAAAAGGATTTACTCAACAGTGCCAACAGTAATGGTGCTCACCTTATGGCGGTAGAGGAAGTGTTGACGTCACTCATCTTGTAACAGGTAACACAGGGACGCTGTAACAACATACAGTACTGTTATCACTACTTATATACGGTAAACATCAGTAGCCATTATCTTAAACTAAAATTGTATAACATGAATAGAAGAGCAGAAGGTGTATGTTTCCATCCTCGCCGTGAACCACAGCCCCTCACCATAACTTTATCACACGTTACAAAATCACTAAATATTTAAGTCAAAATAAGTTCACAGCTCGCGGACAAGTGTTACCGAGTGTTACCAGTTACCTGTTAAGGGAGTTACTAATGTTTAATAGTACATAATGGTTGCCCCTCGTGTAACGAGGATGGCTGGCCCAAGGGCCACCTAGGCGTGAATTTGTTTAAGGTGTAGAAGCTGTCGCCAACACAACAACCACACCCTAAGTTAACGAGCTGCATGATCCAGTGTCAAGGAATAGTCCCAGAAGACCGGACAACTCGCCAACTGCACTGGCTAACCATTACCCCAGAATATCCAGGTTCCCAATTACTGCTGGGTAGACAGAGGCAAATAGCGTAAAGAAACTTGCCCATAGTTTCACCCTGCCAGGGATCGAACCCAGGTCCACTTGCTTGGGAGGAGAGCATGCTGGCCATTACAACACACACACACACACACACACACACACACACACACACACACACACACACACACACACACACAATAACACACACACACATATACACACACACACACACACACATACACACACACACACACACACACATACACACACACACACACACACACACACACACACACACATACACACACATACACATATATATACACATACACACATACATACACATACACATACACATATCACACACACACACATACACACACACATACACACACACACACACACACACACACACACACACACACACACACACACATAACACACACACACATACACACACACACACACACACACACACACACACACACACACATACACACACACACACACACACACACACACACACACACACACATATACACACACACACACACACACACACACACACACACACACACAGTATCATACAACAACCAATAGAATCACTGTATGATCAGTAAAATGTTCTCCTTGCTGGTAAGTTATGACCGAGTTGTTGTGTATGATGCTGGCCTTGACGTCTTGCTCCGCCGTCTGTCTGTCAGTCTGTCTGGAGTAAGTGCCTGTTTGTCTGTCTTTCTCTTTGGTCTAGCTCTCACTGTCTGTCTGTTTGTTTCGATCAGGTTTTTCCTTGTTTGTATAATAATAATAATAATATAATATTAATATAATAATAATATATAATAACAAACACAAATAACAACAACACTTCACACTATACACCTCAGCTTAGGTATCACATCGTCCCTCAATATGTTTAAAGGGCGACATCAACACTACAACACGGGACGACTGAGGCATTCAGATACCTAGCTCTGGGGAATTGTACTTGAGTTGATGGTAGAACCTGTCACCCTCCTTCGTGTCGAGTATCACCCCACACAATGAGACCTCGAGGAGTACCCCCCTTTTGTTTACCCTCAGGTGGATTATGGGGAGGTGAAATTAAGATCCAGGGGGCCAGTGTTTGTAGGAGGTGTAAAAGTGTGGAATACTCCCCTCCTCACACCATCTGCTACACCTCGCTCGCGCATCACTACACAGATTAACGAAGGGTTGTGTTTATTAAGTGTAGGGACGCTGTACGGAACACAACAAGATGACATGTTCAAGTGATTGTCTTTAAAGGCTTTACATTTCTTGTTGACAGTAGAGGAGACAGGATATGTGTACTTTTGGCACAGGTAATACAGACGTTATTTTGTATATAGAAAGCAAATACATCTTTTAAAAATAAAGACATATATTTAGTGGAGTTACAAAAGAAATCGTATTGTTAATATAATGGAGACATCATCTTTATCGAGGTAATACCGGTATCTTATTGTGAAAGTGTTAACTGTTTTTATGTTTTATTTATGAGATTCTTAAACCCGACTTCTCGGTCACTCAAGAACATCACTTCCTCCTCAGGCAGTCTTGAATCACTTCCTCTCGTGGTATCTCAACGACCTTACCATTCCGATATACAATTATTGGGAAGTGAAAATCATTATGTAGTTAAGATAATGATGGTTGATAGACCAGGAGAGGATCTTCGGGCACTGTAACACCGACCATCTTGAAGCAGACTCAATATTCCAGTCAGAAGATTTTTTTGTATAACTATACTGTATACTGTATGTTTTTACACACACACACACATTTTTTCAATATACACATGAGTGTTTGTTTCCTCGCGTGTCTTACGCAATATATTGTAAACCATCAATCCATCTTACAAATAGGGTCAGCTTCAACCAATCCTCAGCAGGCAAGTACAGTACTGAGGCGTCACTCTTCAAGAATTGTGTGGTGTACGTGGTGGAAGCGCCTGGCCTGGCCTGGTCTGGTCTGGTCTGGTCTGGTCTGGTCTGATGTATATTTTATCTGGCTTCCGCTAACACAAGCGATATGGAGGCCGTTGGCTACATGCTGCCACTCCCGGTCGAATACCAAGGGCCTTATCGGAGGCTAATGCGCCACTGTGGGCCGAATAGGAATCGCGGATCCAGAGAACCATTGGTGGGTCGAATAGCTACTTCATAAAAGACGAACGGAATGGAATTTGGAAGGGTACACGCTCGATGGGGAGTCCTGCTGATTACATCTCCAAGACGGCGCTCCTGCCAAGTGGAGTGCTTGTTCCAGCCTTACTGGCACGTTGAGAGCGTTCACACGTGTAGCGTTTCGTGTTGCACAGTTCAGAATTGCAGACTTCAGGTTGCAGAGTTCACAAATGCAAATTTTGAGTTATACTCAGTCAAAATCTTAATAGAAAGTAAAATAAAACATTAAAATATTTACACTTTAGTACCAGAACCATGCCACATCTTGTGTGGGGAAGACGCTGGTCGTTCCCGCTAAAATCGAGAAAACTTTGGTCAAATAAAGTGCCTCAAATCAACAACAAAGAGAGAACACAAAAGAAGACAAACTACAGGAATTTTCCTCCATGAAGCAGCTGTGACGGAGGGAGACAACTCACTCTCTCACTGACCCAGTCATCCAGTCCTCCTTAACAACAGTGAAATATATATCTTAATCGCCGGTACGATGCTATCCTCAGGTACAGACTAAACCTGAATTGCGTTATCATGCGGTCTTTAGTACGATGGATTAAACCTGAATACAATGACTTAATCCCTTTGATTGCGATGTCTTAACCATTTCAGTGTTATTCAACCTTCCTGGACACCATGATTTTGTACCCAGGAGAGTTGGATCCTCTTACTCAAGGGTCCTTAATGTCTTTACTACACTCAGTAATCTCCCTCAAGAAGCGTCCTGACAACCTCTCTTCTTCAGTGTCATAACAAGACTGAGACATGAGGCAAGAGGACGGAGCATTGAGCCAGTGTCAACAATCAATATGGCTTCATTACTGCAACCTCTGGAGAAAGAATTTGAAGGTTGTTATTGTCAATTTCATGATTCGTCTTCGAGTTTGGATGTTACGTGAAGAGATTATTTCCAAAACTTTCTAAGTATTTTATTTTTTAATCTTTTCTTTCCGGTCTAACTTAACTTACAGAGTTATATCACACACACACACACACACACACACACACACACACACACACACACACACACACTACTCTCTGTCCTTTCCATAATCCGCCTTCACCTGTGCCACTCCTCTCCTCTCCTCTCCCCTCCTCTCCATATTTCATTTCACCATGTCTGTGCATTTTGTTCTTTATCACCCTCCCCACCTTCTATCCTCCCATTCTATCTTTCACATTTCTCTTCCTATCTCTCTTGTTCATTCGCTGCCATGTCTTACTAACTTCAATCTATTATCAATCACCTTCTAAAACTCCTCCGTGATTTAGAGCCAAAACATCATTATAAATAAACACAGAAGAATGACTTAAATCTATATGGCGAGACAGTAAATAACTCACAAGGTTGTAAATCCACACAATAAGCTTACTAGACGATAGCCTCCCGATGCTGACAAACACAATAATGCTCTTATAGGTACAGGATAGTTACCTCAACATGGGAAGTATTGGTCTCAAAGTTCCCGTAGTGTGTGTGTGTGTGTGTGTGTGTGTGTGTGTTATGATCATTTTTCTAAGGATAACTGCGTTTACCTATGTTATTTTCTAGTATACAGTATATGAGCAATTATACATATTCACACGTCATATATAAGTATATGCCATTATGTATACAATATACATATAAGTAAATAATTCCAATAACTACTACCACCACCATCATCATCACCACCACACCACCATCACCACAGTCCTTAAGCAAGTCTGAACACAGCGTCCCAAATCACACACACACACACACACACACACACACATAGACTGGCAGGCAGGCTGACTATTTTCCATGAGAGTTGGGAGAACTGTTCCAATAACCTATTATGCAGAATAAACTAGGCATCAGGGTACTTGAGGGCAAACCCAGAGTGGTTCCTCCCTCTTCCTGCTGACGGGGAAATTGAGAGCCAAACTTAAATATTGTTCTTCGTTAATCAAAAACAAAATCACATTAATCCTGGTTTACTTGGGGGTGGAGAGAGGGGGGGAAGGAGGGTTGGAGAGGGGGTAAAGGAGGGAAAAGGGGGAAGGGAGGGGGGAAGGGGGAGGTAAACGAGAAAAGACGTATCACATTTTCCCTCTTGCACTCAAAGGGAATTACAAAGACGTGATGTATTTTTTCTCCTTCATATAAAAAGAAAAATTATATTCGTTACATTTTTTTCCGTTTTTTTCTCTCTCACTGTTTTTTTTTTTTTGGATTGAGGAAGAGACGAGTTCTCTCATTCTCTTTCTTACTGACAAAGGAAATTACAGAGACAAGATGTTGATAAAGAATCGTGTTATTCAGTAAGTCCTTTTATTTATTTTTTTGTTTTTGGTGGAAAAGGTTCTGATCCTCTCTCTTGATGACAAAGGAAATGACAGACACGAGACTATTTTTCCTCCATCATAAAAAAGCGGATTATTCATTACGTTCTTTTATTTAATTTGTTTTTTAGATGAGCTTCTGTTTGTCGAAAAGATGGTTTGGGAGTATTTCCTTCTTGCAAATAGAGGAAATTACAACCAGAAGCGATGTTTATAACTTAGCTGCAAGATGTAGGCTACTTGTTCTTATATAAACACTTGTCTCAAACACTCAGCATCTTGATGATAAAAATAATGTTTATAGATCGTTCGTAAAATCGTGACTTTTTTTTTCTTCAAAGTTTTCATCTCACGTCTGACTTATGGTACTACAGTATAACCAGCTGGTGACTACAGGTGATATGAAAATTATACTTTCTGTAATTTCTCTCTCTCTCTCTCTCTACACACACACACACACACACACACACACACACACACACACACACACACACACACACACACACACACAATAATACTGTACACAAGTGAAGGACAGCATATTTTCCTTACATTATGCATTAAGAAACCTGACTAATATTTTAGGTTACCTTTCACACCACTTAAGAACCCCCACCACCTCCCCACCTCCACCACCCCCACCAGATTTCCAAAATAAAAAATAAGGAAATTCTTTATTACGTAATTAACAAGCGAAGCAGAAAACACCGGGCGCAGGAAAACATACTCGTCTTGGGTTAGTTATTTACCTCCAGTGTGTGTGTGTGAGGGAGAGGTAATTACATCAATACATTTCACTCTGTCAATCTTCACTATACCTACGAGAGGGTTCATGGGTAATGGGTCACAGTTTTAATGGACCCCAGCTCTAATAGGTCCCACCCTAATAGGTCCTCACTCTAAGGACTGAAGAGCCATAGGGATTATGTTCCAATCCGAAAGGCTAAGTCAGGTTAATACACACACACACACACACACACACACCTACAGTTCGTACCATGAGTCATTACACAAGGTCTGTAGCTCATATCAGGCGAGGTCTTCACGCTCTCCCTCCCCCCCCCCCGTCAATTGTTGTGCTTCACGTCGCCTCCTCCCGGTGCTGGATGGTCTTGTGTGTAAATCTGGCTGACAACGGGGTAATGAAGGCCAGCGGTCGTTACCATCCATACTAAACAACGAGTAAACACGGGGGGGGGGAGGTGAGAAGGATGGTGAGTGGAGGAGGAGGAGGGATGAAGTAGTAGGATGGGGATAAAGGAAATAAAGGAAAGAAGAGAGGAAAGCGGAAGTGGCAACAGGAGGAAGAGGAGGGAGAAGAGGAAGAAGGGAAAGAGGAAGAAGGGGATGGGTAAGATGGGAGAATAAAAGAGACTGAGAAGAGGGAATAGGCGATAGTAAGATAAAGTGTATCAAAGGAAAGGGGAACGGGGAAAAGGGAAAGAAGAGACGAAGGGGAATTAAAAAGGAGTTTGGCTGAGGAAAGCACGGGGAGGAGGGGGGAGGGAGAGGAGGGAGAAAGGAAGGAGGGGGAGGGGAGGACATAAATCACAGATATCAATTCTCGTTCTCTAATAGAAACCTCCTACCCCTCCCCCTCCCTCTCCTCCCTACAGGTAAGCTCAAAAGACAACACTACCTCCCACCACCGCCCCCCCACATATGGCACAAAGTAAAGGTGAAATTATTCCATTGATAATTACTGTAGGGTGAGGCATACAGAACGCGTCACAACACCATTAGCATAAAGATAATGAATAAATACTGAACCTTGCTTAACCTTTACACTGTGGGAGTCATTACTTGTGTTCGACTCGCCTAGCAATTGACTCTTATCACAGCGCGCCTCATTTGCATACGGATTACAAAAACACGCGCGATTGCCGTCAAAAGCCACAAATGTATTCATGGGATAGTGGATTACCTGTACATTATCTGTGTTAATTTATGATCTGCATCGTATATGAATCTACTTTTATGGGAGTCTTTTAATTAATCGTGTGTTAGTCCAGGCTCTGGTTGACAGCTCCGAGTGTTGTCCATATTTGGTGGCTAGTGAGGGTGATTTGTGTGTGTGTGTGTGTGTGTGTGTGTGTGTGTGTGTGTGTGTGTGTGTGTGTGTGTGTGTGTGTGTGTGTGTGTGTGTGTATGTGTGTGTGTGTGTGTGTGTGTGTGTGTGTGTGTGTGTGTGTGTGTGTGTGTGTGTGTGTGTGTGTGTATGTGTATGTATGTATGTATGTATGTATGTATGTATGTGCATTCTTCCCACTACCAACTGTGCACTCCTTCATCCATTCCCTGTGCACATCTCACCTCATAATGTGTGCATCACCTATCTCCCTCCTCCATCACCTGTGCACACCTCCCACCATCACCTGTGCACGGTCTCAGCAAAGGTACACCTGCACCTACTTAGTCATCATCACCTCAACACATCATCGTCTGCCTTAACTTTTATAAAACAAAATTACTCTTCTACTTGTCCTTGATGAATGACCCCTAAGAGTTACACCTTCCATGTTACCTGTGGGTCCTGTTACACCTCCTATGTGACGGCTCCTACGTTACGGTCCCCATGTTACGTGGTGGGAGGGAGTGTCAGGTCATTAATATGAGGTACAGTGGTGAGGATATTTCTCTTCTCCACACTGCCCG